CCTTCAGAAATCATTCTAAAATGCTTAAAGAAATAAGAACTTTTTGTATTATTATTATTGTTATCAATGTTGTTACAGTCATTTTTTTCAGGATTCTTTCATAATTAAGAAAGCTCAAAAGCAGCATTAGTTTGAAATATAAATCTTTTGTAACATTATGTCTTTACTGACACTTTTGCACAAGTATTTAAGTATTTTTTTCATTTGGAAAAAAGACAATGATTTTTTATCAGGACAAACTTTTTAGTATTATTTATAAAAAAAAATTAAAAAAAAACCTTGATTGGTAGTAAATGGAAAAACCCAGTTAGTGTATTTAAATAATATCTGTATTAATATCTATATTTTCAGCTGGCCCGTTACCTAAACAGAACTTACTGGGAGAAGAAACAGGAAGAGGTTCGCAAGAGTCCCACCCCCTCTGCTCCTGCTCCAGTTTCACTGGCTGAGCCCGTGCCAATCAGCCAACCAGTGGAAAGCCTCGCTCCGGTCCAACCCATCAACATAGTGGAGGTACCTGCAGCACTGGAAATGGAGAACCAAGACAATTGTTGAATCATGTTCTGCACTGAACGTCTTGCATCTGTCTCTTCAGCAGCAGTATCAGAATGGAGAATCTGAGGAGAACCATGAGCAGTTCCTGAAGGCCTTGCAGAACGCCGTCATCACCTTCCTTAACCGCATGAAGAGCAACCACATGCGCGGCCGCAGCATCACCAACGACAGTGCTGTGCTCTCTCTCTTCCAGTCCATCAACAACATGCACCCACAGCTGCTGGAAATACTCAACCAGCTGGATGAAAAGAGACGTGAGTCACGTGTGCATGTTTGTGTCTCAAGCCCGTGTCCACCTGGTATCAGCATTGACACACAGTGCTAAATATAGGTGTAAATGGGGTCCAAAACATGTTGTGATCTGATCTAGAGCTGCGACAACTATTCAATAAAACCGTTAATTATTGCGAAGGAAAATAATCAAAACATAATTTCATTATCAGTTAGTGAGGTCTTTCCTGTGTGCATAGAAAACCTCCTTTATTAATTCATTGATGTCAAATAGTGACAAACACCAAATTAGATTTTTGCTATTAAATAGAATTCAATTTACATTTAGCAAAACAATCATTTGGATCAAAACAGTACACACTGCTAAAGGTTTCAAATGAACCATAATTGTTGTTTATTTGTTAGTTCATGATACATAATGCACTAACTAACGTTAAATTGTACCATTTTTATAATATTTTTTTATAAGAAATTTTTTGCATATTCACTGAAATAATTAGAAAGAAATGTAAAATGAATTGATTTTTATCTAAATAAATTAGATGGGTTTTTTTTATTTCCCACTAAATATTTTAAATATAGTAACTATATTATTATTTATTATATAATTATAGTATTTTCTAGAAATAAATCATTTGAAAATGAATACGTTTCAGGATTTATTTTGATTTCTCACGATTTAATTTAAGGGACAGTAATAACACATGCATAACTGCTTAATATATTTACTCAAATAATTAGAAATAAAATAATTTGTAAATGAATCAGTTTAAATGTAAATATCAAAATAAATTAAACTATGTATCTTGGTTTCAATTTAAAACTTTCTAAATATATTTAGAAACTGCTGCCTTCAAGCTGTTAGCTTGATCTTTTTGTTAATAACTTCCAGTGTAGATAACTACTATTTCCAAATGACACAAAATGTAGGAATATATTGAAGCTGGTTGGGTTGCAGTTTCAAAGTATTGTCCCTAACGCCTTTGAATTACAAGGTGCCTTGTGATAGTGAATGCTGTCTACTCTCTCGCTCAGTGTACTATGAGGGTCTTCAGGACAAACTGGCGCAGGTGCGTGACGCGCGGGCGGCACTGAACGCTCTGAGAGAGGAGCACAGGGAGAAACTGAGACGGGCTGCTGAGGAGGCAGACAGACAGAGACAAATCCAGCTCGCCCAGAAACTGGAGATCATGAGGCAGAAAAAACAGGCAAGTTGCTTTTCTTTTGAGTCTGTGAATCATGTGATGAGGGAACGCTGACTCTGATTGGTTACTGCAGGAGTACCTGGAGATGCAAAGACATCTCGCAATCCAGCGTCTGCAGGAGCAGGAGAAGGAGAGACAGATGCGTCTGGAGCAGCAGAAACACACCGTTCAGATGAGAGCACAGATGCCTGCGTTCTCTCTGCCTTACGCACAGGTGTGCACTGCTACACACACACATTTGACACTTTCAGCGAGCTGATCAATGAATCAGTCATGATAAATATTACACACATTATGTATTTGTTAATTATGTTATCTTTATAAATAGTTAAGTTTACTTTTAATGAGATTTGTAAGTTAGTTGTAGGGCTGGATGATATATGTTTTTTTTCTCTGTTTTTTAATTATATGTTCTAAAATGGCAAAAAAAAAAGTACAAATACATTTTAAAATATTTACGTTTTGTGTTAAATCAACACAAGCAAGAATATTGAAACATATTCAAGTGAAGCATCATGAAACTAGTCTAACAATATGACCACTTCAGGGTTAATATAAAAATATATTAAAGTCATTACAGTGTTCACATGGTTTAATTTGAAATTATTGTCGAAGTCATTGTAAATGTATAGTAAATTAACTATGTCTAATTAGACAATTAAAGGTGCAGTAGGAGATCTTGGAAAATGCTAACTTTAGCCTGATAGCACTGAAAGCGAATGTCCCACCCTCTCTGAAATCGCCGTCCAAAGCCACGCCCCCTGAATGCATAAACACCAGAATACCAGAGACAACATTACTACAATAGTAAACTTCAAAGGATTTCCCCTGCTTAGGGAGCAGGGAACCGCTGGGCTACATCATGTGTCATTTACCTGTGAGAATACTTTATAGTACTGCTCAGACAGAGCGTTTTGATTGGACGAACATTTCTTGGTCCTACGCCTTCCACAGAACATATAAATACAGACAAATACATTTAGACCACTTAACTTAATGATTGCTATCGGGATGTGAAGAGACTTTCAACCAGCATAACCAAAAATGTTTCTGAAGACCATCACCTATTGCACCTTTAACAATTATTTTGATAATTCCTAATTTAATTAATCAATTGCCCCTCACCATTCGTTCCATTCTCATTCCGTTACTGAATGCCAGTTGTCTGAGCACATCGATGTCTGGAAGACCCCAATCTGGATTCCTATTGACAGTTGGTGTAAAACGGGGCAAGACAAGACCGTAGGTTTGTAAGCTGAAAAATGTGTCAACACATCGTCATGCATTAATAAATACCAATATATTGAAACTTAAAATATAAAATAAAGAACTGTGAGTTTGAAAACCCACATCTGGCGTAATGTCTGGTCCAGTTGTTCATTGGAGATTGGTGCGATTGTTCCATTGATAGCGTACGGCTGAGACACATTTCATTACGTAAGGTTTATGATGTGGTTATGCCTGTGTTATCAAAAACATCATATGAAAATGATACAATACTCCAACTCACTCCGTAAGTCATTAAAAGGCAAAAATGCAGCTCAACGAGAATAACCGGAATGGAAGGTCACGTGATTTCTGTAAATGTATAATTTCCTCTATATATTTCTAATGGTGGTCATCTGATATTTAAAAAGCTGTGTGATGCAGGCTGAGACCACACTGAAAACCTGGGATTTGTTTTCTTGTTTGCACCTGGAAAACTATTTTTTTAAATGGTTGACATTAAGAAGCTCTGATATAATGCTCATTAGCATTGAATATGATTTATTATTGAGTCCCTAATTAAATGTAACCACATCTGTGACATTGACCATGTGAGCTCCTTTGTACTCGAGGTCAGTAGTGGATACGCTAACCTCCTCAAGTTAAGAAACCCTTGTTCGTATTATGCTGACAGTATATTGTGCAACAAAAAATGCTAAATGGATCCATTTTCACTAGTGGCCTCAAGACTTGTAGACTCCACTGATTATTTATAATGCAATTTAATAGAAACACTCCTTTCAAAGTTTTGGGGTTGGTAAGAATTATTATTTTTTGTATTATTTATTATTATTATTATTATTTTATTTACACCTAGGCTGCATTTAAAGGAATAGTTCACCCAAAAATGAAAATTCTGTTATCAATTACTCACCCTCATGTTGTTCCAAACCCGTAAGACCTTTGTTCATCTTCGGAACACAAATTAAGATTTTTATCAATTTAAAAAAAAAAATTGTAATTTGCCTTTATTAGGATAGGACAGTATATTAGACAGGAAGCGAGGAGGGGGGGCGGGGTCAGGAAAGGTCCGCGAGCCAGGACTCAAACTTGGGACGCCCGAAGCGCCCATGAGGCTGTTGGCGCCGACAAATTAAGATATTTTTGATTAAATCCTAGAGCTTTCTGACCCTGCATAGACAGCAATGCAACTGACACGTTCAAGACCTAGAAATGTAGTAAGAACATCGTTAAAATAGTCCTTGTGACTGACATCAGGGGTTCAACCTTAATGTTGCAAAGCTAAGAAGAATTGTTGAATAAAGTCGTTATTTTTGTTTTCTTTATGCACACAAAAAGTATTCTCGTAGCGTCATAACATTACGGTTGAACCACTGATGTCTCGTGGACTATTTTACCGATGTCCTTGCTACCTTTCTGTGCCTGGGAACATTTCAGTTGTGTTGCTGTCTATGGGAGGGTCAGAGAGCTCTTAGATTTAATCAGAAATATCTTGATTTGTGTTCTGAAGATGAACGAAGGTCTTACGGGTTTGGAACAACATGAGGGTGAGTAATTAATGACAGAATTTTTGGGTGAACTATTCCTTTAATTGGTGAAAAATACAGTAAAAACAGCAATATTATTACTATTTAAATTAAGATTTTTTAGCATAATTACTCCAGTCTTCCAGTCAGCAGTCTACTCACATGATCCTTCAGAAATCATTCTAATATCCTGATTTGCTGCTCTTTTGCTAACAGAGAATAGATGCACTATATGGTATTTTTTGCTGCTTTATGTGCTCATTGTTGTCTGATGGACTCATTTCACAGACACAACCTACAGAGAACAGCACTGTGTGCCCTGCGAACACTCAAGACCAGCACTGTCAGTCCATCTGATGCCATTGCAACACCTCTGCTTGATGGGACGCCCAAGCAGTACTCTCCCAAAATCCAACAGCTGGTCAATGATATCGCCAACCTCACGCTCATAGAAGTGTCTGACCTCAATGAATTACTAAAGGTGCAGCACAAAACACCAGCCAAATAATGCTGTTTAATGCAAGACACAAAATACAAGAAGTGCACTTGTATTGCACTTCAAATCTTAAAGGAATAGTTCACCCAAAAATGAAAATTCTGTCATTAATTACTCACATTCATGTTGTTCTAAACCCGTAAGACCTTCGTTCATCTTCGGAACACAAATTAAGTTATTTTTGATGAATTCTGAGAGCTCTCTGACCCTCCCATAGACAGCAATGTAGTTACCACGATCAAGGCCCAGAAACATAGCAAGGAGATCGGTAAAATAATCCATGTGACATCAGGGGTTCAACCGTAATTTTACGAAGATATGAGAATACATTTTGAGTGCAAAAGAAAAAAGAAAAAAAAACTTTATTCAACAATTCTTCTCCTCCGCGTCACTCCTACGTCGTTTACAATTTGATTTGAACATAAACAGCATATCCGCGTGGCGCAGCTGACATAAAACAGCATACGCAATTAACGTTCAGTGGATATTCTCCAAAATGGCACCAGGGTGACGGGTAGAAGAATTGTTGAATAAAGTGTTTTTTTTTTATTATTATTTTTGCACTCAAAAAGTATCTTCGTAAAATTACGGTTTGTCTGATGTCACATGGATTATTTTACCGATCTATGTTTCTGGGCCTTGATCGTGGTAATTGCATTGCTGTCTATGGGAGGGTCAGAGAGCTCTCAGAATTCATCAAAAATATCTTAATTTGTGTTCCGAAGATATCACGGATTTGGAACGACATGAGGGTGAGTAATTAATGACAGAATTTTCATTTTTGGATGAACTATTCCTTTAAAAGTATGTTTTTTAAAATGAGAAACTTGCAGTTAATCTAATATTAATGAAATAAATAGCCACTTAAGTGTATAATCTTTTGTAAACTTGGTCAAATATAGTTCTTCACTTCAATTTGAAATTGTGAATATTCACTATATCGCCCAGCTCTAATAGTGTGTGATCATCTTTACTGAAAACACTGATATAAATTTTTTATTTTTTTTTGTCCCCGTCAGAAAACTCTGAACATTCAGGATGTTGGAATGATGCCCATGGGCTCAATAGCAGCTGCTCCTGCTGCTGAGGTAAAGCTTTATTAGTCATACAAGACTAGTATGTTGCACAATACATATTGTACTTTGTTGTTGTTTTTAGGAACTTGTGAGTAGGGCTGTGAAAATGGCTGAAAAAACGAAATTTGTATTTTGTACTTTAATATTATCAATATTCAAATTATATTCTAATTTAAAAGGCATAAGTTCAGTTAGGGTGAAGAAAAGCTTTTGGTTTCTCTCCTGAGGCCTACAAAATATTAGTAATGCACGTTTATTCAAAGCAATAAAATAAGACTATCTTTGAAAAAAGTGCATAATGTTTAAAATAATGTTTATAAACCATATATAATTAACAAAATTAGAAACAAAACAGCATCATGTATGTATAGTTTTATACAAAGGAATGAAAACCAATAAAGAGGTGAAGAGGGTTGGGGGGGGGGGGGGGGGGAACCGCCATCAAGTCTCGAGATGTTTTTTAAAAGTTGAACTTGCATTAATTTCACATGGCTTTCTAAACATGCGGCTTTATAAACACTCCTTTATAAACACTCCTTTGTGCGAGATGCGAGTGCAACGGTGATAGCTGTCCCTCTAGAAAACGCGATACATATGCGTTCCGTGTGATCGGCTTGGGTTCAGTTTTGACATAAACAACATTTTTTGTTTTTTCCACAATATTTAGAAAGTACAACATGGCAGCGCCGCATCTAGTGGCTTCAACTGGATAGGCTAAAAAAAAGCATTAAAATGCAATGACACTTACATCGTCATCGCATCTCGTGTGCAACTGATAAGGCTGCCTGATGCACACCTAAAATTTGAATGCAAGGTTTTTTTTTGCATTCGAAATGTGGATTTTTTTTAAATTCGACGAATATTCCAAAAAAGAAAAAATTTGACAGCCCTAACTACGAATTTATCAGTAACTAGAAACTAACATTTGGTCTCTAACCAGTGCTCCCCCTAGTGAATGACAGCTACATTTTCACACATTTTGGTGTCGTTTTATAAAATTGTTACCTGTTTGTAAATGATGTATGTATTATGTAATTGTAACAATTATTGCAGTTGTTGGTAAACTGTAAACTAAACTGGTTTTTACTGACCATTTGTTGAGAAAAGGGGAAAAAAAACTCAATTTTAAGAGCTTGAAAGATTTTGTATATTTTTGTGCAAATGTAATGGTTGTGTTTGTGAAGTTTTTGCTGTAATGGTTAACTGAATTTGCAGGCAGTAGAGGAGGAGTCGGCACCTGCACAGAAAGAGAAAACCCATTTTACAATCAAACTGACAGAATTCAAAGTGGCTGACAAAGTGAAACTGATTAAAGAAGTGAAGAATTGCATGGAGGGCCTGAATCTTGTACAGGTAAGATGTTTTTAAGTGTTATGAAGAACTTTTTTTTTTAAAAGGCTACAGTGGCATGAAGGCTAATCTAAATATATTTCAGTCTCTTATTAGCACATATCGGTCAGTTGCTGTCTATGTAGTTTGTTTCCAAAGTGTCAAAAGGCTGCAGACAGCAATGCAGCTCACTAGATTTTGTTACTCCTGAATGTGAGTTGCTGCTGATTTTAATTTCTAAAGGACTCCGATTATTTTTCCTCTCATTTACAGGCCAAGAAGCTTGTAGAGTCTCTACCTCAGGAGATCCGGGCGAATGCGTTTAAAGACGAAGCAGAAAAACTGAAAGCAGCACTAGAAGCAGCAGGAGGCACTGTGGTGCTGGAGTGAATGTCTGCGCTGGCCCTTCACTTGATCACTTGTTACCTGTCAGTCATCGTTTTGTTCTTTTTTACAAAAAAGGAATTTGAAGAAAACAAATAATGCCTTTAAAATGACCACTTGTTCCACAAGAGGTGGTCTGGGTGTTGAACTTACAGACTGAACTCTAATAGGCTGTGAGCCTGCAAACACACCACCCATCACTGACTCCTCCATCTGTCCTTTAGCTACACATGTGCTGTCCTGGGCAGGATGGATGGAGCTGGTCTGTCTCTGATACTGGGGATGTCCTGACAAAGGGATGTGATGCTATTGCTTGTGGTTAAATAAACATGTTATACCATACTGTGTATCTTAATTGTATCATCATGGCTTATAGAGCAATAATCAATGCATTATAAAAGGCAATTTTTGCCAGAAGTGAGTAACTGGTGTTCACTGCACAATGAATAATACTGTATCTGTAATACTGTATGCAGAACATCTTTTATTCAACGGAATAAAATACAGGACCACATGTGTGAACTATCCAGTTAAGCATGTAATAACGTGTCAAGCATTTTCTCTGTTTTGGTACTGGTGAACATCTGACCGTTTAAGCGGAGTTTAAATTCAGTATTTATTGTGCTGCCTGAAAAGGAGAAATCTGACTGACCTAAAATATTATGAAAAACATTATCTACATCGTAGATTCTTAGTGACAATTCTGTAATCTAATGACCGGAATATACACTACATATAGGCTACACTTTTTGCTTGTGGTTAAATAAACATGTTATACCATACTGTGTATCTTAATTGTATCATCATGGCTTATAGAGCAATAATCAATGCATTATAAAAGGCAATTTTTGCCAGAAGTGAGTAACTGGTGTTCACTGCACAATGAATAATACTGTATCTGTAATACTGTATGCAGAACATCTTTTATTCAACGGAATAAAATACAGGACCACATGTGTGAACTATCCAGTTAAGCATGTAATAACGTGTCAAGCATTTTCTCTGTTTTGGTACTGGTGAACATCTGACCGTTTAAGCTGAGTTTAAATTCAGTATTTATTGTGCTGCCTGAAAAGGAGAAATCTGACTGACCTAAAATATTATGAAAAACATTATCTACATCGTAGATACTTAGTGACAATTCTGTAATCTAATGACCGGAATATACACTACATATAGGCTACACTTCTTTTTTTTTGCCCCAATCTAGTTTGGAGAAGTCGATAAATAGTTGCAGAAAGTCAGAGCCAGGCTGCAAATTTGGTTGGAGTTGACCGATTTAGCAGTAAATTGCGTTTGGAACTATTTTCATTCACCAAATCGAGCAAAAACAGTCAACACTGACAATATATCCTTTCAATAAATTCAAATATTGAACTAAAATGTATGTTAACTACTCGTTTTAACTCTTGTGTAAAATGTCAAATTTGCAATCGTGGTTTTCAGGGAAAACGCCACTCTCTTGGCCATGTTGCTCAACATATGCTGTGTGTTATAAATATAAAAACTAAGTTACATTTGTATGTTTCTGTGTGCAGTTGTGTTCATTTGTTTTAATTTCTCCACAAGATTCTCTCACAGACAGGCTGTATGAGCCTCAACTGGCGCGATCTTGTTGCTGTTAATTATCAATTGCCATTTACCCCGAATGTAATAAAACCAGAATCATTCAAATGTCGGTGCTTCCCTAATTAGATGTTTTAATCAGACTAGTTGTCCGGTCGGACAAAGTAAAAATCTCTTCTTTCACTTGCCCCTTCAAAAAATCCACTTGTCCCAGACAAGCATTAATGTCAAGCAGGGCCGGACTGGGACGCAATTTCAGGCCGGGAAATCTCACACTCATCCAGGCCACACAGAAAAAAAGGGGCCAAAATTGTACCTTTTGGGGTACAACAGCTTGACACTGTAGCAGTACTCTTAAAAGGACATCTTTGTACCTTTTGTACCCCTAATATGAACCTATTAGTACCTTAGAGTAGTAATTTGTACCCTTAAAGTACTAATTTGTAGGCCTACCTATTAGGGGTAAAAAGGAACAAATATGTCCTTTTAAGAGTACTGCTACCATGTCAAGCTGTTGTACCCCAAAAGGTACAATTTTGGCCCCTTTTTTCTGTATATAGCTTATGCATCCACTACAATTTCTGAAACCACAGACAACCCTATTATTTGTATGGCCATCACATAAAAAGGTCTAAACGCTTAGTCTAAGGCCATTGAAAATAAGTAAAGGTTCTCTCTTTAACTGCACCAATTCACTTCCCTTTTCTTCATTTTCCCCAATATCTCTGTATCTCCCTTCTTTTTCTTACCTGTAACTTCTTCACCAGCAGGTCTACTGTTACGAACAGAACTGTCCACCTTGTTGAAAACATCCTCCTCATTTAAATTTGTTAGCACAGCATGCTATTTATCTTAAAATTACTTAAATACCCTAGATTTAACAAACCTACATTACATACAAATATACACTACCAGTCACGTTTTTGAACAGTACGATTTTTTAATGTTTTTAAAGAAGTCCCTTCTGCTCACCAAGCCTGCATTTATTTGATCCAAAGTGCAGCAAGAGCAGTAATATTGTGTAATATTTTTACTATTTAAAATAACTGCTTTCGATTGGAATATATTTTTTATATATCTTTAGAAATTATTACTTTTATTTAGCAAGGATGCTTTAAATTGATCAAAAGTGATGATAAAGACATTTTCAAAAAGTACATCATCTTTTCAGTCAAATTCTTAAAGTTAATTAGTCAATTAATATTATAAGTCATTTAGGCTGTTACCAAGCAAATTAAATCATTACTGACAAAATTCATCTTTGCAATGCAGAGGAAACACAGAAGCTGCATTAGAAGTGGCATTTAGATGCATTTACACACTGTTTAATGCAGGACATTAATGTTTTAACCTGCAGTTACAAATGCATTAATGCTGTTTTGATATTTTAAACATAAAATGTTGAAAACTGATATTTGATTTATTTTTTTTATGAAAAGATATTTTAAATGTGAAATTAAAACCGCCAGGAGGTGGCAGCAAGTCACTGTTAATAAGTGAGACATTGCTATTGAACCAAATCATTTAAACGGTTGATTCATTCAGGAACGAAACACCGTCATGTTGCTCAGAGATGCAAATTGGAATTATATTTGTTTGGCGAAATGGAGAAAAAGCAGTCAATTGTGTCTAAAGTAAGTGTATTACATTCTTGTTTATTGAACTGCTGTATAAAGTCTTCGTGCGATACTGATTAACTATATGAAATTATATAAATATATACATTTCTGCCCCCATATCTTGAATTTTGTGATCATTCTAAATGCATTTTAATAAACTGAATCACGCAGTGAAAGAACGCACACTGGTGTAGCCTACTAGACTTCCTATTGCCTTAGCTAACTTACAGCGGAGTCATGGATGTTAGCAAGACAAATTAACTATATTTAGCTTTCGTCTTTTGGATAATTAGCTGTAAATTCGAGGCACAGGTAGCTTAGTCTTTTGTTCATCACCACTCACCTCCACACCAAGACAAACACAACTGGAAAGGGAGGGAGGTCTTCACTTCTGTAGCTCTCTGTCTGTCTGTGACTGTGCATGTGCCGATCAATGTGTGCTACACTGCTGTGCTGCGTGAAGACACAGAGGGGAGAAAGTATCAACATTTCCCGACCCGACCTGATATTTTGATTTTCTATTTGTTTGACAGGGAAAGCTGTGCGCAAACAGAAAAACACACACGCACATATATACATATATTCATTAAAGAAAAAAAAAAAAGGCCAATTTCTCTCGAGGAAGAAAAAGGGCAGGTGCTCAAGCCCACTTTGATGTCTATGTGTGCACGTGCCTGAACCAATGTGCCTTAGCTAACTTACAGCGGAGTCATGGATGTTAGCAAGACAAATTAACTATATTTAGCTTTCGTCTTTTGGATAATTAGCTGTAAATTCGAGGCACAGGTAGCTTAGTCTTTTGTTCATCACCACTCACCTCCACACCAAGACAAACACAACTGGAAAGGGAGGGAGGTCTTCACTTCTGTAGCTCTCTGTCTGTCTGTGACTGTGCATGTGCCGATCAATGTGTGCTACACTGCTGTGCTGCGTGAAGACACAGAGGGGAGAAAGTATCAACATTTCCCGACCCGACCTGATATTTTGATTTTCTATTTGTTTGACAGGGAAAGCTGTGCGCAAACAGAAAAACACACACGCACATATATACATATATTCATTAAAAAAAAATAATAAATCCCCAGAAAAAAGGCCAATTTCTCTCGAGGAAGAAAAAGGGCAGGTGCTCAAGCCCACTTTGATGTCTATGTGTGCACATGCCTGAACCAATGTATGACCTAAAGCAGGGATCCTCAAATCTGGCCCACGAGATCCACTTTCCTGCAGAGTTGAGCTCTAACCCTAATCAAACACACCTGAGCATGCTAATCAATGTCTTCAGGATCATTAGAAAATCACAGGTAGCGGAGTTTGATCAGGGTTGGAGCTAAACTCTGCAGCGCATTGGACCTCCAGGGCAAGATTTGAGGAACCCTGACCTAAAGCAGGGGTAGGCAAGTTCGGTCCTAGAGAGCCGCAGTCCTGCAGAGTTCAGCTCCAACCCTAATCAAACACACCTGAACAAGCTAATCAATGTCTTCAGGATTACTAAGGCTATAGGCAGGTGAGTTTTGTTTTCAGGGTTGGAGCTGAACTCTATAGGACTGAACTTGCCTACCCCTGACCTAAAGAGACTGGAGAACAGGCATCATGGATGCAAGTTTGCTTCGGCATCTTGGAAATATATTTAGATTTATAAACAATTTTCTCTAAAGCTGCGAAAAGAGTTGTACAAATAACTGACTTGACTTGATGTGCCTTTTGCACACTTCAACAGCGGTCACAATCATGACTAGATGTTTGAAAAACAAACTGAATAGGTCTCAAAAATGACTAGAAGTCTAGAAGCAACCACAAGGTGGACTTTATTGACGCACCCTACAGAGGTCAAACATGTCTTGATTCTATTTATATGCGTCACGTAGGCCTACACACTTCTCACTGAAAGCCGGCTGGAGGATGAGGAGATCCTTGTGAAACTTTCTCAGCACAAAAGCGTTTTCACTGGTTTCAAGAACTGACAGGCTAGATAGGGCTCAATAATAATGCTTTGATTCATTCAAAAGCCATCATAAACTTGAAGAATAAAAGTACAAATAAAAAGGAATTTCAGGATGAACACAAACCGTGCTGTGTGAGTTATGCCAACTGCATGTCCCCTTAAAGCAACAATGTTTCCTTGGCACATGATACATTCTTCTGACAGATGCTCGGTCTTGTAAGGCCGCCTGTGTCCGAGTTGGCAGCATGAGGCGCTAATATACCGAGCGGCTCACTTCTCCTTAACCCACGCGTTTCCCCGCTGTAGGCCTATCTGTAAACCTTATTTCTACGCTTACAAATGAGTAACTCTCTGTACTAGCCTATCTGCGCGTTTGTAATCCCATGTATAGCGGATGAAAGGAACTATTTGACAGTGCTGGTCTTCCGGCTGCACTAAGTCAATCAACTGCAGTGTAGCTAGATCTAGGATTATCACTGGGACTTTTATCACAGCACCGAGCGGTTAATGTCGCGTGTGAGTCGCGTTATTCCACTTTATTCCTTCATCGTATCGTCACGGAATAAACCGAGGTTCAATCATGACAGAGACGCGCATGTCGCGCTGGTACTTCGGAGGAATTGCCTCGTGCGCGGCCGCCTGTTGCACTCATCCGCTGGACTTAATAAAGGTACGAGCTAGGAATCTACCGGCAATCTTAATGTATTAGCCTTTAAAGTGTGACAGCTATACAGTAAATGTGTTTTAGTAAAGTATATTATAGCACAGGATAGTATAGACTAGTAAAGTATAGCCAGCAGTGGTTTAAACTTTTTGACCCCCCACAATTTCCAGAACATTTGTATTGTGTAAAATGTATTTTCATTAAAAATACCCCCCCCTTTTTTTTTTTTACATGACTTTTCCAGGTCTAGAAATAACACTTTTAAAATGAGGCTACCTCATATATGCAGATTTTTCAAGGCAGTTGTTGATGGGTGAATATTTTATGTTTTATTGATTGTCATATTTTAAATAATTGAGTCATCTTCTGGCCCCCTTGTTGAGAGCCAGTGTAGTAGCAAATAGTATAGTATGGAGTATAGTATACTGTAAATGTAAACATATTTATTGAACAGGGCATCATAATTTTTCTAATTCTGTTTGGGTATAGTAAGGTACAGTATTGTACAGTGGGGTGATTCTATAATTGGAGATACATTTGGCATTGCAGAAAGTTAAGAAAAAATATTTTTTTTTCAGCATCTTATTGAAAACGTATTTAATTTGAATAATTCAGTGCTTGTCAAACACAAGTTACTTCCTTTTTTTTACTTTTAATGAAAAAACAGGTGTCTTTATGGTATTGTTTGTCAACTCTGTTACGGACAAATTAGTCAATGTGTAGAAATAACAATAAATCATAACAGGCAAAATTCATCTTGTTTTATTAGACAAACAGTCCTTACATTCCAACATTTGAAACTGAGATAATATTTCACCTATGCATACATAAAAAAAAATAAATAAATACCCACGTCTTCACAGAACCGTCCACTTGGAGCAAATATTTTTCATCTGAAAATGTATTATATACAATATCTATTTAAAAAAAGAAATGTGGTTGAAATATTATAAGTGTGCAAAAAATAAATCAATAATGTTTATTAGATTTTAAACAACAATTGTATTGTTTTTTTGTGAAAATAGTTCATAAACAGAGTTGACCCTTTAAGTAACAGCATTGTAAAGTAACAGAATTGACCGATGGACTGTCAATTCTGTTACAGCATTGTCAGCATTGTTACTCTACCTTGGTAACAGAGTTTGACGGTAACAGAATTGGCTTTTTTATTATCTTTTTTATTTTTTGCCAAAAACTCCACTTGCTAGCATAAATGCTAAGAGCACATGGCACTAATGAAATCATGATTGAAAGACTTTTAAATAACACAAAGTGTGATCAATGAAAAAAATCTGTTTTCCTTTTGATATTGTGGTAACAGATTTGACACTTTATAAAATAACCCTTGGTGTAAGAACTTTTTAGATTAAAATATTTTCTTAGAGATAGCACATCGACTTTTCAGTGCTTCAGATCTTAACAGTGAGGGACAGTGACATCATTTCCTGTATCTTACATAGTTGTGGGAGATAATTGCACTAATTTAAAGGCAAAAGTATGGTACGGTAACAGAGTTGACGCAAGATTTACGGACACATGTTTTTATAAGATTTTTTTTTTTTTTTTAAATAATGTTGTAGAATTAGGTAAATGAGTCTTTAGGGCTTTTATAAATAAAATGAATAAAATATTACCAAAAGAAAAGTACAATAAAATATTTTGATTACACAATGATACATGATGGGAAAAATGCACTGACTAATTTGGACAACAAGAAATCATGATTTTCAGCTATTTAAGAGACTTTTTGCTAAAAATATTATATTGTTATAGACTGTAACATCTTGTAATTCATAACAATGAGTAACACAGTATTAAAATAATAAAAAAAATAACCATTTGAAAATAGCAGAAAAAAAATAATGACACCAAATGTACCTGCAATTATAGAATCACTCAGTGGTTCTCAACCAGGGGGCTCAGCACACTTCCAAGGGGACTGCAGGATAACGTAAAATTATTTAATTATATTATATTGACAAATCTAACTGAGCTAAGAAAAAGGTTCTTTATAGTCATCCATGGTTCCATGCAGAACCTTTAATATCTGTGGAATCTTTTTTAGACTATTAAAATGTTCTTCACACTAAGAAAATAAAAAAGGTTATTTTAGGAACTGTTCACTGCAAGGTTCTTTGGGGAACCAAAAATGGTTATTCTATGGCATCGCTGCAAAACCCAAACATTTTTGAACCTTTAATTTGAGGAGTGTAGTATTGTATAGTAGTTCCAGTATACCTTAATACAGTAGAAACAGAAGTGTAGTATAGATAGTACAGTAGTCTAATATAGTCTATACTGGTTTTGCCTTAGTTATTTCCTCCACCTTCAGGTTCATCTGCAAACCCAGCAGGAGGTGAAGATGAGGATGACTGGCATGGCTATGCAGGTGGTGCGCAGTGATGGGGTGCTAGCGCTCTACAATGGGCTCAGTGCTTCACTCTGCAGGCAGGTTAGTGCCTCTGCAGAGGATTTGGCTTATTTATGCTTTTGTGCTCACTTTAAGGTTTTACAACAAGGCGTCCTAAATGGTAAAGATTCTTTTGACGTGTGGTGCCATGTTCACTCTTCTAGATGACTTACTCAATGACCCGCTTTGCCATTTATGAAACTGTGAGAGACAAGATATCTAGTCAAAACCAGGGGCCCATGCCCTTCTACCAGAAGATCTTGCTGGCTGCTTTTGGAGGTAAAAACATAATCCTGTAACTCTGTTAATTTGCCTGAAGCATATAATGAAGATGGATCTCTCTGTTTGGCATCTTTTAAAACAGTGATTGTCAAACGTTTTGACTCCAGACTCCCACTGTCCACAATTTTATAATATAGTTTTAATAGCAGAATATTCTTCAGGTATCTCACGCTATCATTTACATGATTTTTCCAAATTTGTGATTTACAGAATAAGGATTTTTAAACAAAATATATTTTTACTCACAATTTCACAGTTTATTTAATCAAATATTTTAGAGCTTGAGATAGCTAGAAAAAAAATCTTTATAAAAAATAATTTTAAGTAATATTAAGGCCCCCTTGGAAGTTTGCTGAGGTCCCCTTGTTGAGAACCACTGTTTTAAAAGGACAGTTCACCCTAAAATTAAAAATCTGTCATAATTTACTCAAACACGTAATTTTTATCTTGTGTTATAATTTCTTTCTATAAAACACAAAATGAGATGACAATGATGGCTCTGTTTTCATGCAACAAAACAGAAGAAAGAAAAACCTGTTCCTTTAATTTCTTAATCTGTAGGTCTTACTGGTGGGTTTATTGGGACACCAGCAGACATGGTTAATGTCAGGTGAGTGACACTGATTTACACAAGGGAGTCTCATAAAACAGAGATGTGAGTGTTTTTATAGTGAAGCAACTGTAGATCTGTTTAGGTAATATTTTTATGTAAATAAAAAACTGCTATGTGTCATGTCTTGTTTCAGTTCAGTTTCATCCCCCACTCTCATAAATAAAGGTACACAAGTTGTCACTGGTGCAGTATCTTTCCACAAGGTACACTTTTGTACTTTTTAATATGTTACTTTTAAGGTACTAATATGGACCCTTTAGGTACAAAGTTGTATCTTTTGAAAAGGTACCACACCAGTGACAGCATTTGTACCTTTATTTCTGAGTGCCTGTGTTTAGTGTTGGTTTCATTTGTTCATATGGTTTTTGATTTGTTAATTGATTAGTCCCACCTGTTCCTTGTTTTCTGCCTTATTTAGCCTATGTATAAATTCCTGTTTGGTTCGGCTCTTGGCACTGTTCTCATCAATATAATGTTGGCTTTTCTCCTCAGTTTATCTTGTGCTCCTAAGTTCCAGAGTGAATATTGTTTTTGTTTGTTAAATTTACTGCTTTGCAAATAGATCTATGCTTCAAATGTCAAGAGCAGACCCTTAAAATGGATCTAATACTAGGGCTGCTCGATTATGGCTAAAATCAAAATCATGATTATTTTGGTCAATATTGTACTCATGATTATTTAACACGATTATGAGGGGGCCATATGACCAAAACTTTATATGAGTGATTTATTTAAAGATAGTGATACATATATATATATAATATTATATATAACAAATATATATTTCCTGTAAATAAGGTTGCTATGACATCTACATTGTAGAGACCAGCGGAATTTCAAATAAACAAAAACAAAAAGTCCTCAAAATTATTGAAAATAATTAAACTGTCAGTAATAAAAAGCAAGGGTGAAATACAATAGAATACAAAGATACAAATGAAACAAACTGTGCATTAATGTTTTTTTTATACAAGTCTCAAGCAGTTTACAGCCTACTACATAAATGAATAATCAAATGTAAAATAAAACAGCATAGTCTTCACTGTAAGAATGAAACTTATTTGTTTATTATTAAAGCTACAAAAGTCCTTCACTCAAGAGCAGTGTGTGATTTTGAATTCGTCTTTTGTTGTTTGATTAATATGAAGCAAACAGTCGCAGCAGGAAAATAGCCTGCTCTCACTTTAAGAGCCGCACGTATCCAATTTACCGTTATATGCGTATTTTCATTCTCAACTCTTTACGTTCATTTATTACATGACCGACAAAGGCATACATGAATAATCACCAAGCGCCGCATTTTGACACATTTTGGAGCCCAATAAGCGTTGGAGTGTTTTATCTCGATTATTGTATTTTCATAATCGTTGGAGGCCGAAATCAAAACTGTTTTTTCGATTAATTGCACAGCCCTATCTAATAGCGGTACGAATCCTCCTCCTCATCCAGGAGATTGGTCCCTCAAGGATTTTACATGTGAGTTTTAAGACCTGGCTTACATGGTACATTACCCAGACAAATCCCTCTGAATATTTTTCCATGCTGGACTAAATACACAGACAAGATCTCATCTTCCTGGGGATGGTCCTCAAGGGGCACTTTCTGTAAGGTGCTCCAGCACAATGGATCCCCCTTCACAGTAGGTGAGGTGGAGCAGAATCTCACCCTCTTTGTGTCCGCACCAGCCCTGGATTTCCTTCCTGAGCCCTCCCAGCCCCTCATCACACCAGTCACGGGCCCCGAGCCAAAGCATATGCCAACCATGGACCCCAAGCCACGGCTTTAGCCTGCAACAGACCCCCAATCCAAGGAGCTGTCAGTCCCACCACCCTGTCCAACCTTGAGCCAGCGCCAGTTGCCCAGTCCGTTCTAGAGCCAACTCTTATTGATATGAGTGTCCTGGAAGTAATCCCCACTCTTAAGCCCACCCCAAAACCCATCCTCCTTCACTCCTCCCATCCAGTGCCCTAGCCCTGCCTTTAGATATTCTGCCAGAATCCTTCTCAGCCCTGCAGCTTTACTGGTGCAACCTCGGTCTCATGGCAACCCAGGTCCACCAAACCTGCGACGTTCAACCCTCTGGTTTCACCTTGGCCCTCTGAGGCCATGATTCCGCTTCGGGCCTTGGCTTCACAATGGTTTGTCATCCCTCTGATTCCACCAGGCTTCTCATCTCTCAGTCTCCAACTTGGTCTGTTGCCTTACCTTGCTTCACTGGGGCTTATCCCCCTGGCTCCACCTTGGTCCTCCAAGCCTGTGACGGCGCCCTGGTCCACCATTCACTGGCTCCACTTAGGTTTTCACCTCCTCTGGCTCCTCCATGGTCAGTTGTCCAGCCATCTCCTCCTTGGATCTCCATCCCTATGGCACTACCATGGTCATCTCCTCCACTGGTTCCACCATGGTCTCTTCACCTGCTGCCTCCTCCATTGGGGGTCTCCAGCCCCGATGTGGTCTTTTCCTCTGCCATGGTCATTTCCTCCGTTGGTTTGCTTTGCTCCTCTGTTTATCCTGTGCTCCTGAGTTGCAGAGTGTTTTGATTTTGTTTTTCATTTTATAAATTTACTTCACAATAAGATCCATGCTCTCCTTGCCCTACACAAGGAGATTTTGAGACACAAGTAATTTTGTGCCTTTTCCTCTACCCTGTGTTTTATAACAGAATGCAGAATGATGTGAAGTTGCCACCTGAATTAAGAAGAAAGTGAGTCTCAAAAAATATGAAGTACACACCAAACTAAAACAAAATAATCTGTCATGACAACATATGGTGTTTTGCAGCTATGCACATGCTCTTGATGGATTGTCACGTGTTTGGAAAGAAGGTGAGAATAAGAAAATCAGTTTACAAAAAAATGAGACACATTTTGGCTTAGTACTATAAGAAATCAGATGAACTGCCTGAAAAGATACTGTCACAGAATACAGTATAGAATGAATTGCAGCATTGTTTTGTTGCTGAAGAGGTATGCATGCCAATTTCTGCACTTAAAGTCACAGATTAAAACCTTCCCACAGCAATCTAGAAATGTGTAATGACAGAATGTGGGCCTGTGCTACTTACTCATCCATCAGGAAAGAGAGAACAGACAAGGGTTGGGGTTATTTGAATTATTCATAGAGCTCTGTTTGTAAGAGCTCCTGCCTTTAAGGAACACTCCACTATTTTTGAAAAAATTTCCAACTCCCCTAGAGTTACACAGTTGAGTTTTACCATTTTCGAATCTATTCAGCTGATCTCTGGGTCTGGCGGTAGCACTTTTAGCTGTAGCTTAGCATAGATCATTGAATCTGATTAGACCGTAAGGATCTCACTCAAAAATGACCAAAGAGTTTCTATATTTTTCCTATTTAAAACTTGACACTTCTGTAGTTACATTGTGTACTAAGACCGACGGAAAATTAAAAGTTGTGATTTTCTAGGCCAATATGGCTAGGAACTATACTCTCATTCCGGCGTAATAATCAAGGAACTTTGCTGAAGAAACTCTTTGGTCATTTTTGAGTGAGATCCTTACGGTCTAATCAGATTCAATGATCTATGCTAAGCTACAGCTAAAAGTGATACCGCCAGACCCGGAGATTGGCTGAATGGATTCGAAAATGGTAAAACTCACCTGTTTAACTCTAGGGGAGTTGGAAAATGAGCCAATTTTCAAAAATAGTGGAGTGTTCCTTTAAGACATATTTTTTTCTCACAGAGGGAATAAGGAAGCTGTTCTCTGGAGCGTCAATGGCAGCTGGTAGAGGGGCCATGGTCACTGTTGGGCAGGTAAAGGAAAAACTGTTTAGTTTTTATAGCCACACTTGCAGACAATCATAGAATAGGCTGTGAGTGGTCTGTCATTTTGCCATGACCTGGATAGTCTCAGTTCCTCACTAGTCTTCTGTGGTTCTTCTAGCTCTCCTGTTATGACCAGGCCAAGCAGCTGGTTCTGGGAACTGGTTTGATGACTGATAACATTTTCACTCACTTTGTTGCTAGCTTTATTGCGGTAAGTTGCCCTCCTCCTCAGGAATGCATTATAAACTAACCTTTACTTCTTTAAAGGTTACATTTTTATTTTTTTATTTTTCCCTAAGGTCCACTTATAATGTTGGTCAAGTAGTAATGTAGTAGTTTGATTTAATTTGCATGACCATTTACACCTTCTCTCTCACTAAACAAGCAGTTTTTGCTACTGTGACTTTAAGACCATTCCTTTTTTTTGGCATGTCTTTTTAAAAATTAAAAAAAAGTTTTGTTGATGATTCTACTTAGTAGTTCACCTTAGCTCACTTAGTAACATTTTAATGTTTTCTTCACAGGGAGGTTGTGCTACTGTTCTCTGTCAGCCTATGGATGTGGTGAAAACCAGACTGATGAATTCAAAGGGGGAATACAGGGTACGATTCTGCTTGAATTTTCAATTTTGTAATTTTCTTTTTTTTATTATTTATCTTACATCTACATTGCATCTTGAATTTCTGAATTACTGTTCAAAAGTTTGATTTCTTAGATTTTTTTTTTATATTGTGTCTTTATTCAGCAAGAACAGATTTGATCAAAAATGACAGTAGAGACATTAATCAGGTTACAAAATATTAATGTAATTTAGAAAATACTTTTCTGTTGAAAATTATATTCATCAAAGTATCCTGAAAAATGCATGTTTCTACAAATATATGAAGCAGCACAACTGTTGTCATTTATAATAATAAGGAATTTTTCTTCAGCAGCAAATCAGTATATTAGAATGATTTCTAAGATATCTAATTAGCATTCAGGATCTAGATTAGCATTTTGGCATTTTTGATTTCATCATCCTGAAGCCAATGGTTTTTGTGAATGGGTTTTTAGTTAAACTTCTGAAATAAGGTCTGTGGTTAACACAAGTTTAAGACATTTTCATGTTTTATTCTACAACATAAAACATGTTAACAAAATCCCATAGCCTGTTTCATAAAACAGTATTTGGGCTTCAAATTTTATAAAAGTTGTATTCATTTGTGAAGATTTTCATGAAGTACATGACTTATTTTTTTTTTTTACATGATTTTCATGATGACAAAATTTGTAAGAATCATAAATGTTTTCTGGCCACATTTCCTGATATAATCCAAAAACCAATAAAAAAAAAAAGTTTCATAAAACAGTACTTCAACATGAAAGAATTACTCTGAAAAGACCAAGACATCAGTGCTTTGCACAATATTATCTCATTGAAGAGAAACAATTGAAAAATATTTGATGCTATAAGGGCCATAAAAATACAATCACGACTGGCCTCTTTGCAAACAGCAGTGAATTAACACTCACTACTTCACTGACTGTAAAACAGGTGCTCATATATGTGGTGACATGACCCCAAGAGCCCTGTTGATGTGTTTATTTGCATTTTCCATTCCCAGATCTTTGCCAAAGTAAGGGAATTCTATCGCTTCCCTTTAGAGTGACATCTGTGGGATCAACATTTGAGACAATTGTGTGGAGCGCTGAGATGTACAATGAGAGAGATGCTGTGAAAAACAGGGTAATCTCCATTCCAATCTGCATGGATTTTTTCCATCCATTTTTTTCCTGCAAAAAAGCCTTACATAACTTGGCTGAAAGACAACATATGTATGTCACAGATGTCACTGTAATCTCAGTGTGTATGATCAGTTTATTACTAGAAGCCCAAAGCTTTTGAAGTCTACAAACACAATCTCTCACAAATGGGCCTCATTTCTGCTAAGCTAATTATATTTGCTGTATTTGCTACCTACTATACCACTAAACCTAACCTCCCTGCAAGAGTGCAGTAAGATCAGGGTTGCCAGGTTTTCAAAACAAAACCCGCCCAATTGCTACTTAAAGGGGGTCATATGATGCTATTTAAATTTTTCCTTTCTCTTTGGAGTATTACAAGCACTTGGTGCATAAAGTAGATCTGTAAAGTTGCAAAGACTAAAGTCTCAAATCCAAAGAGATATTCTTTATAAAAGTTAAGAGTCAACCACGCCTACCTAAAACAGCTCATTCTAACACGCCCCCACATGTCTACGTCACGATGTGGGAAGATTTGCATAACGCCGCCCAAATGTTCACGCAAAGAAAGAAGGCATAACTTTTATTCTCGCTGTAGTATTGTTGTTGCCGCCGCCATGTCGTGAAGACGCTGTGTTTCGTTGTGAAAGCGAAACTACTTTGTTTGGTCTTCCAAAAGAGGACGATATCTGCTTCATCATGCCTGGAGCTGATCTGTGCTGGTCGCTGAGGAAATACATCAACTTTGTGCTGTGGATCGCCGGATCGGCTTTTACCGTGGACGAAGTGGAGTCCAGCCCGGGGTCGTCACATGTGGTTGCCACAAGCCCTCCACAAACCCGCCGCTCACTCTAGCCCGCCCTGTGTGAAGCTGTGTTTCGTTGTGAAAGGAATTTAAAATAATAGTAGGCCTATTAGTATTGTAACTTGCAGCAAATGAATAAAATATGTAATATTTTATTAGTGTTTTATGTTCACTTTATCTGCTTTTGTTTCTGTATTATTATTATTATTATTTAATCATACTAATAATTATTATTTTAATATCTAACTGTAATTTCATTATTATATATTTGATAATAATTATAATTATAGATTTATTTACCTAATGTAATGTGACCATTAATTAATTAACCAATTAAAAACCAATAATTAGAGAACTGTGAATATGTTCTTAAATTATTGAATTATCAAAATAAAATCTCAGCGGATGCTAGAAGTTATTTCACATGTACAGGGTTTGCAAACCCCTGATTTCCAGCATTTTCAGTGAGAGAAAGAATCATACTCATGAAAGAATCATTCTCTTTTGAGTCTAAGCTGTTTAATGAATCAATTTAAAAGGTTACAGATCATTTACAAATGTTGAATGATTAATTCCTGAATCATGATTATAGTGTTTTCGAGTTAAACTCACTCAAAAATCTTGTTCCTTAGCCTTCACTTTATCCTTTTTTGAAGCAGAAAGCTCCTGTTAATTGTAATTGCACTGAAAATTGGTTGACCCTCTAACTCTAGCACTCTCTATCCTAATTATATTCTTTAAAAAACTTGCCCCTTTTAGACTTGCACTCTATTTATTTACTAACTGCTTGTTTTCTTAAAAAAAAACTAACACTAGCTTCTCTAATCTTTTTGTATTCTATCTATTTGCTTTCTTTTAATTTATTATACAATTAACAAAAGTAAAAAAGGCCTCTAACACCAGCTTGCTCTATCTGTTTTCTTTTTATTTATTATATAATAAAAAAAAATAGTTGCTACGTGTACTGCGTTAAGCTAACTGAGACTTGTTATAGCACTTGCGTATCATTGCTCTTTTGTTGATTTTGATTGCTTTCATTGTCCTCATTTGTAAGTCGCTTTGGATAAAAGCGTCTGCTAAATGACTAAATGTAAATGAAAAACGAACATGGATATTAATCAAAATTTCTCCTGTTGTGTTCCATGGAACAGAAGTTATACAGGGTTGAAATTTTTCAACTCCTTTAAGCTGATGTCACCAGAAAGATAGCACAACCTGACCCCCACACACACACTCAACACAAACAAACATCCAGCTAGAACTGCTCATTTTCTTGATCAATCTATTTATAATTATGAAGAAACATAATTAACTCCCATATTTAGAAATCTCTGTTACTCTCAAGACTTCCTTCAGTAAACAGCATTTATCTTATCTGTCTTGCTTGCAGCTTTAAGCTTAAATTCTTGCAAAACTACAAAAGCAGTCCTTGTCACAGTCATAAGTACATAGTATTGACAGATCTGGTCACCAGCATATGTGTTCTGGATGCTGGCTTTTCTAACAAGATTTTTAACCAGCAAAATGTCCTGCCAACCATCTAAATTAAATACATTGTTCTGGTCTTGCAGGGTCAGTCGACTTAATTTAAGTATCAACTTTGGATTTTCCTCCTTATAAAACTCCCTTGGACAAATAAAATGTATACAAATTAGATAATAGTTAGCATATAGTAGGTGTGTGGAGCTGTAAATTGAATATGGCAAGTAGGTGAAATATGGCTCAGGCGAAATAACAGTTCTTAGTGCCTCTGGCTCCTGTGTCTGCCTGTGTTCCAGAGGAACTCTGGCAACACTTCACAGCTCTGCTGAAAGATGACTCTACAGCAGACATGGAAAACTGTTTGAGTCAGAGGAGCGAATAGAGGCCTGGATGTTGCTCTGCACGCATTTCTGCTTTGTCCCTGTCTGTCACTGACCCATTTCAGCTGGCCAAATGACCCTTACACCCCATCTGGTAAAGCTGCCAGAGGAAACATGAAAAGCCTGTTAGCTGTTAGGTCACTGGTGATAAGCACTCCTGTGAATTACCGTTGATTGGCCCGTTTAAGAGGGACAGTGTACTGTGCGATCCAAAAGTCAGACACCACTTTGGAAAAAAAACGATGCTCTATTTGTTAAACCTAGAAATAAATAGAACATTTTAGGATAGTGAGAAATGTTGTGCTACTGACCACTTATTTGAAAAGACGGTCTGATGTTTTTGCTTCCATTGGCGCTCAAGATGCTTACTGGATCTTCTCAAATCATTCTGAAGAACATAATTTGTGAAGAAATCATCTGAAGACCATCATGTTCTGAAGAACGTCATTTTGAGGAGTTTATTCATGCTGCTTGAGTGTTGCTTTCGTTCATGCAAATGAGAGACACCAAATACTAAGGCATTCTGACATTTTAACACAATTTTTAACGTCAGATGTTATGCTTCCGATATAATTAGTAATGAAAAAAAAATCCACCCAGCAATATTACAATGCAAACACAGCAATGTAGATCTCTCTCTCTCTCTCTCTCTCACACACACATACACACACACACACACACGCATACACCCTCACACACACACACACACACACTGCAGTTTTCAAGTGATAAAAAGAATACCTTAAAATTGGTGCGTTTCGATGTATATTCGTCTTCTTAGAAGTCCAAACAAAGCATTTCTTACATGAAAAAATGCTTACCATTCTTTGAAAAATAGATGGAAACTTTATGGATGATCAAGCAGAAATACTCTGCACATCAACTGAATTCAGTGACTTGTACGCCTCCAAAGAAATATGGCTTTGCACGCTGCTACATCAGTCTTTGTAAGTCTAATCCTCAAGTGTCAATGGAAATCAGTAAGTACAGAAATGGTGCTATCAGCATGCGCTCAAGCTTGCATGAAGTCCAAGTGGCAGACACCCAGAACACGCTAGCATTGTTGTGGTGAGGTTTGCGTGAAAAAGCACCGCTTGCGTTTTGGGAAAATGTAAAAGTCTTGTTTTGTCTCCCTTTTGGCCGATGTATTTTTAAAATCGAGGAGTAAACATTGACTGAGGTAGCTAAATCACTTTGGCCGTGTAGAGATGGAACAAGATGTGTTTTTATTATAGGTCCAAGTTATATAAGAGGAATAAAATAAGAGCAGTTACCGTCTAGTCAAATATTCTCTGACTTTTTACAAAGTTTCTCA